GTCTTGAGTTTCTTTGGTTGTGTCTTGAGTTTCTTTTTCTTTGGTTGTGTCTTGAGTTTCTTTTTCTTTGGTTGTTTCTTGAGATTCCTTTTCTTTCCTTGTGTCTTGAGTTTCTTTTTCTTTATTCGTGCCTTGAGATTTCTTTTCCTTAGTTTTTTCTTGATATTCCTTTTCTTCAGTTGTGTCGTGAGTTTCTTTTTCTTTGGTGGCGTCTCGAGATTTCTTTTCTTTAGTTGTGTCTTGGGATTCCCTTTCTTTGGTTGTGTCTTGAGGTTTAGCTACCTCAGACTTCAACACTGGAGTCTCCTTCAGGTGTGCCTTGCCACCAAGAGCATCCCCCTCCTCTGCAGGCTGAGAGGGACCTTTTTTATTCTCTTTAGGACTGATATGGGTTGTTTGGGCAGCTGCCACATTTAAATGAGCAGCCTCAGCTTCAACCACACTCCCTGGCTGTTTGAGTGAGCTCTTCTCACTCCTCTTGCCTCCACCCAGCTCAGCCCCTCCAGCTTTATTCTCCAAGGAAGCCTTGTCAGTGTTGTGCTTTTTATCAGTGGTTTTTACTTCTTTATCAGCCACCTTTTCCACAGGAGAAGGGTGAACTCCATCCTTCTTTGACTGAACATGCTGTCTGGCTGCAGGAGCCAATGGAAGTGGTTTCCCTGCCCCACTGCCACCCTGGGAACCAGCCTCTCTGCTTTGCCCACCTTTCTTTGAAACCTCTTCTCCGGGTTCTTCGTGTCCCAGATGGATGGGCTGCTCACAACCTTCCTGGGTCTGTATCTCCTCCTCAGCACCAGCTCTGGGCTCTTTGCTGCTTTTCTCTGCCAGTGCTTCAGGAGCAGGAGCAGGAGGAGCAGGGGAAGGAAGCCCCCCACTCCCTGCACCCCCATCTCCCTGCTTTGGGAAGCCAGAGGAAGCATCTCCCTCATTCCCAGGGCCAGTTACTGTGCTCTGAGCCAAGGATTGGAGGTCACTTCCTTTATTATTCCAAAGCTTTTGAGGGCCAGTGGGGAAGTTTTTAATATTTCTGTTTTCATCTACAAAATCCGTGTCTTCCATCCCATATTCCAGCTGGGATTCCAGGGCAGGCAGCGCTTCACCCTTGTCTGGTTCTGTCTCTGGAGGAACGGGCTGCTTGGAGGCACTTCTGGTCTTTTTACTGCTCCCATCATAACCCCTCTTTTTAGATCTCTCAGTAACTGGGGCCAAAGTGGGATCTGCCACTGCTGGGTGCTCTGGGATAGGATTTCTGTCCCTGCTGGAAGGACTGGGACCTTCAGGTTTGTCCCTTATCTCTGTGTCCCAGGGAGGGCTCATCCCTGCTCCTGCTTTCTGCTCCAGCACAAATGTCTGCTGTGGCTCAGGTTCCAGCTTTTTGTGTTTCTCTTTGCTCCCTGTGTGTGATTTCTGTGGTTCCAGAGGCAAAGCAGGAGCCTGTCCTTTGGCAGGAATGCTGAGGTCATCCAGCAGAGCCTCTGGAGTCCTGGAATCAGCCCCTTTGCCCTTCTCAGACTGAGTTTCCTTGACATTTCCCATTGCAGGGACGTCACCTGGACCCAGCTCAGGACTAGTTTCAGCCTTTTTGCCTTTCACCTCTCTAGTTCTACTCTTGGTCTTGTCCATCCCCATTTCCCTGGTGGGACTGTGTGTCCCGGCCCTGTGCTCTGGGAGAGGCTGGGATCTGCCTGGATCCTTCCCTGTATTCATGGGCCAAGTTTCTTTAGCATTGCCTGTTCCTTGCTCTGGTGTCTCCACCTTATGACCTGAAAGAACTGGCTGATGAGAGGCACTCCTATTGCCACCCTGCATTTCAGGCTTGCCCAGCACCTCTGCCGGATTCCCTCTTTCCAAATCAGACCCCACTTTATCCAAGGTCATTTCCTTCCTGCTTCCAGCCACCTTCTCCTGGCCCGTGTCCCCCCCAGCCCCCAGGACAGCTGCCTGCCCCAAAGTCTTGTCAGGCTGTTTCCTTTTCCCATCACTGCTCCTCTTCCTGGGTTTCTCTGCCTCCCGTGTCCCACTGGAGCTGAGCCCAAAGGATTCCCCGGCAGCACCTCCGGCCTCTCTGCCTTTATTACCCAAATCCCTCTCTTCTGTCTGGCTGATGGTGTCACCCAGGGCAGGATGTTTGGCTTCCTCTCTCCTGCTCTCCAGCAGCAAAGGTTGGACTAAAGCCCCCAGATCAGCTTTCTCATCTTTCCCAGTGTTTTCTTTCATCCCCCCTGGTACCACCTCAGTTGGCCTTTGCGTTTTAGTTCTGTCTTCCTGCAAACACCCAGCAGTGACACAACCCCCCTCTCTGCCCTTATCACTGACTTCCTTAGCTTTATTGGGCAGCTCAGGAAAACCACTTGGGTCCATCTTATTCTCAAGGAAAGGCTGCTGGAAAAAACCTCTTTCCCCTTTTTTACTCCTTCCATCACTGCCCCTTTTTTTGGGCTTGTCTGCAGGCCAGGCCTGTGCAGAGCTGCCTGGGGGGTGTCCCCTGGCAGGGAAACCTTGGTCTCTGTCGGGATAAGTTGTTTCTTTCCCGTTCTCATCCACCCTCCCTCCATCAGGGGATCTGCTCCCATCCTCTGAGAGCATCATGTGCTCAGGGAAGCTTTTCATCCTTTTGCCCTTCCCTTCCCCGCGCTTTTTTTTGGGCCTGTCCATCCCGTGTGTAAAACTGGGATCTTTGCCAGCCTGCTGCTCTGAAGCACTAAATCCCTTCCCTTTGTTTTGATCCGGGGAATCTGCTGCCACCCCCCTGCCCAGTGCCTCAGCAGGGCTGGGATGTTTGGGAGCATCGGGAACACCGTTGGCCTTCCCGTCCTGCGGAGCAGGAGCCTCCTCAGGCTTTGGGGAAGCCGAGGGTGCAAGAGGCCCTTTAGCAGCATCTCTTGGGGTCTTCAGTCCTCCCTCTGGCACTGGTTTAGTCTCACCAGCTGCCTTTGGCTCTGTAGGAATTTTGTCCTCCAGCCCAGCCTCTCTGAGGGATTCATTCCCAACCCCTTTGCTTTTTTCCCAGCTTTTCTTTGCTGCTGCTTCCAGAGCCCCATGGGAAGGCTGATGGACTGTGTCACTGAGGGTTTCCCGACTTGGAGATGTGGTTTTGGGCTCCTTGCTTTTATCAGGAAGGGGCAATTCTGAAGGTTTGCTCTGTAAGGGAGTTTCTGCTTTGCTCACATTGACCAGGTCAGGACATCTGGGCTCCTTATCCTCCCTCTTCTCCTTTTTATCAGGAAAACCTCTTTCCAGAGGCTTGGTGGGTGCCTTTGCTGGGACAGATTCCCCCACCTTAGTCTTGCCCACCTGCTCCAAGGGAACCTCTTTGCTCTTGCCTTCACATTCCAGCATCCAGCTTTCACCTCTCCTTCCCTCTGTTTTCGTGACATCCCAGGGTCTGGCATCCAACACTCGGGATTTCTGGGCCTGCTGTCCTGGTGCTGGCACCGAGGAGGCATTTTGCTCATCCAGGACGTGACTCCCAGCTGTTATTTTAGCATCCTTTGGCACATCCAAAGCTCTGCTTCCAGGGGCAGCCCCCGGCATTCCAGGACACACACCCGGATCCTGCAGTGTGACACCAAACGGAGAATTCCCGGGAGCTCCGGGGGCTGTTCCATTCTCATCCCAGAACTCCATCGCTCTCGGCAGCTGGTTTCTCCTTTGTTTGGGTTTCTTTTTCTTTTTCTTCAACACGGCACCTTCCAAATCCCAGTTTTCCCGGGGTGGATCCCCGTAGCTCTCCACAGACCCCGTGGGGCCATGGGCTGCCCTTCTGGGTGGGACCCTCCTGCGAGGGGAGGCTCCAGCACCACATCCGAGCTCCACCACGGGCTCAGGGCTCTTCTGCTCGGGGAGACCTACTGGCTGTTCCTCTGGCACAGCTGTGAGAGGCACTGGGGCAGCTTTTGCTCCGCCAAACCCGCGGTCGCTGGATTTGGGAGCTTGCCTGACTTGTGCAGTGGGAAGACCTGGAATACAGAAGCCTCCTCAAACATCAAAGCCACTATTTGCTGGCTAAGAAAATAATAAATATACTATTTATGCGACTTTAGACATCCCAAACGGGCCATACAGTCACAAGGGCTGGATTTCCAGCACTGATACCACACTAAAGGCACCTTGGTAGGGCTGGGGGAGACATTTACCCCCAAAACCTACTTAATTTACTTCCAATATGTGGTCAATGCCCTTTAAAAATAAGTCCTGCCAGAAGCTCTTACCCCACCAAAAAGCACCAGTTCCTGTAAGGACATGCTATGGCTTTTTAAAAATGCATTAAGGATCCATTTTGTCTGAGCAAGACAAGATTAAGAGAGAGACTTTTTATATCTCCAGCTGGCATCCTTCCAGACTGGGAAAACAGAAGTTTAGTGGAAAGATTGGAAGAGATGGAGGGGATGAGAGCCAAGTTTCCCCCAGCACCAGGGTGGGAGCAGTGGGAGGCAGAACCTGTGTCCCAAAGTCACCTGCTGTGTCCCTTCAGGGCTCGCTCAGCTCCAAAGCCACTGAGTTTTAGGAGAGCATCAGTCATTTGTCACTTAGCCCTGGCCCACAAATCCACCTCCACGACCAGTGTGGCACCACCAGCTCCTGGAGAGGCAGGAAAACAATGACACCTTCCCTCGGCAGTTACACAACTCAATTTGGAATTCCTCACTGGGAATACTGTAGCAAGGATTAATGGTCCTTTTAACACCCAAATAAAAAGCCAGTGGTGATGGCAAAGACATGGTGAGCTTTTCATCCTCCAGCAGAGCAGCTGTGAGCCAGTCCCAGTGAGAAAGTACTTGGAGCACATGGATTGGGGGGTTCAGTTGGAAATGGAGGGGAAAAGAGTCTTTCAGAGGGCAGGGACCAGAGGGAAGTGCAAAGCCAGCACCAGGAATTCAGAAAACCACACCAAAGAGACTCCTGCTTGCTCAGGTGGCCCCACAGCCAGGAGGGAAAGGTGAGCAGTTCAGAGAGGAGACAATTTCCATGGAAAAATGGAATCACTATCCATGTCCTACCTGTGGGCTCTGGCAGGGCCTCTCCTTGCTGAGGTTCCACGTGGTTGTGCTCAGGCTCCTCCTTTTGTGCCTCCACAACAACAGCAGGGACAGACTTTTCTGGAAGGTCCTTATTTTCTAGTGCAACGTCTTCTTTTGCTTCTGCTGGAGCTGGAACATGAAAAAACAGGGACAGGAAGCTTCAGGTCTCAGCAATTCAGGGAGGCTGCAGAAAAAACAGGATCTTGGGAAGGGGACAGGGCTAATTTTATGTTTAATAGGAATGAAGCTCCTGAGACATGGTTTTCTACCATATCTTATCTCCTCACAAACTGATTTTAGCAGCAATTTTTATATTTTGCAAGACATGCCAAGGGGGAGGCAAAACACGAAGCAGAGACTGTTTCAGGCTTAAGCACAGGGTGTTTGTTTGGGGTTTTTTCCCTCTTTGTAATCATCCTAATTCAGACTGTCCCAGATTCCCACTGGAATTCAGATCCAGAATAAACTCCATTATCAGTCTGGAGTCCCTGGCTAATGCTGAGCACCTTGAATTCATCTCTACCTCACAGTACCTTCCTGCAGACACCACACCAGTCCTTGCTCTGTGTAATTACACCAAAGTTCCATTTATAAGCCATAATTACACGGGAGAACAGTTCTCCCTGTAATTAATTTTATTCAAATTCTAAATAGGAAGGAAGATGATGACAGACATTGGTACAACAACCACGGATGAGGAACAAAAAGACAAGTTATACGAAGGTAACTTCAAATGTTAAGATTAACATGGATTTATAACAGCCCTTCGTCAGCACACACGAAAAACCTGCTTGAAATTCAACTTTTGTTGCCTTTTCTTTGCTAAGGGCAAAGAGGAGCAGTGCCTGTGGTGGGGCAGAAGGAGCTGGTGACCCAGTTTTATCCTGGGCTTTGCATTTCCCACCTGCTGGTTCTGGAAGGTGGTTGGTTTGCCCAGGAAGGGGCTCCTTGGAGGGGCTGGGAGGGGGTTTGGTGTCCTTGGTGTCCTCTAAATGATCCACACGAGCTTCTGGGACTTTGGATTCTTGTTCCACCTTTGCCGTTGCTTCTGTAAAGAATAAAAAAAAAAAAAATCACATTTTAAATTTAGATCGAACAAGATAAAAACCACTTCCTCTCTTAATTCTTATTTTCCACAAGAACAGGGATGAGCCAGCACGTCTCTGTGGCTGCCCATAAAACAGAGAGCACTGCTGAGAATGCCCAGGGAAAACAATCAAAATCATCAAGAAATTCCAGCTCTGTATTTTCTCAGTGAAGAGCCCCTGGGAAGCACCTCCTGGGTACCCTGAGAGCAGCACTGAGCTCTCCCCAGGGGGTTTCAGGCCAAGCAAACCAACCCTTGGACGTGATGGTTGTCAGGGGCTTTTCCAACCTGAATTATCCTGTTGCTCTGGGATTTCAAGCACAGACTCACCTGCAGGAGACTTGCCCAAGGGAGATTTGTCTTGCTGAAGGGCAGACCCAGATGTCACCAGCTCTCCAGGCACAGCAATTTTGGGGTCAGCTGCAGGGACACCTCCGGAATCCAGGGTGGGAAGAGGCTTGGCTTCTGCTGCAGGAGCAAACTCAGAATCCATGGCATGGTGGTGGTTGACTTCTGCTGCTGGGGCAAACTCAGAGCCCATAACATGGTCAGATTTATTATCTGCTGCTGGAGCAAATCCCAAATCCATGGCATGGTGATGGTTGACTTCTGCTGCTGGGGCAAACTCAGAATCCATGGTGTGGTTAGGTTTATTATCTGCTGCTGGGGCAAACCCCAAATCCATGGCATGGTGGGATTCCACACCTGCTGCTGGGGCAAACCCCAAATCCAAGGCATGGTGGGATGAAGCATCTGCTGCTGGGGCAAATCCCAAATCCAAGGCATGTTGAGGTTCTGCATCTGCTGCTGGGGCAAATCCCAAATCCATGGCATAGTGGGATTCCATACCTTCTGCTGGGGCAAATCCCAAATCCAAGGCATGGTGGGATTCCACACCTTCTGCTGGGGCAAATCCCAAATCCATGGCATGGTGGGATGGAGCATCTGCTGTGGGGGAGAAGCCAAGCTCTGTCCCCGGGCTGGATTTGTCATTGACAGCTTTGGGAGACTTGGCTTCAGGGGCAGGAGATAACCCAACATCCGTGGCCTGGAAAGGGTTGGCTGCTGCTGAGGGTGCAAATCCAGCATCCAGAGCTTGGGCAGGGCTGGTGTCTCCTGCATGGACAGAGCCAGCTTTTTCTGCAGGAACGGGCGTGGCCTCGGGGGCTGCACCTGCCAGGGACACACGGGCACAGGAATCAATGGGAGTGCAGATGGAAACACCTGACCCTGTGCTTTAGGACTTTGTGCCTCTCCTCTTGTCCTTCAGCATCCCCTGCTGCCTCCTCAGCCCAGGGCACCCCAGCTGTCCCCGTGTTCCTGTCCCCCCGAGTTGGTACCTGCCCCAGCCCCAGCTGGCACCCCGGGCTGCAGGGGATCCCTCTGCTCCCAACACACAGCAGCCAAATGTGGACTCGTTGGGTTTAAAACCTCTCTGGTGCCACACAGCTGGCAAAGGGCCAGAGCTGCTGGATCCAGTGCCAGGAACACATTCCAGCAGAATATGGACACGAGTCACAGCGAGGGGGGTTGCAGAGAATCCCAGAATGGTTTGGAAGGGACCTTAAAGCCCATCCATTCCCACTCCCTGCCATGGGCAGGGACACCTTCCACCAGCCCAGGTTGCTCCAGCCTGGCCTTGGACACTTCCAGGGATCCAGGGGCAACCACAGCTTCTCTGGGCAGCCTGTTTTTCCCTCTTTAACCAGGACACAGAAAATGTGGAATCACCTTTGTGAGCCCAGCTGGGAATTCCAACAGCAGAAAAAGTCCTGGGACACTCCAAAGCCACACACAGTTCATTTTAAACATGGTTTGTGCTGTCAGGGGGTGGTTTGGTGCTGCAGCTTAAGGCACTCCTGACACAACAGTCATCCTGTGAATTCCCAAATCCCTCCATTCCTTCCTGACCAAACTGGCCTCGCTCATTTTCCACACAGTATCTCCCAAGACACTGAGCTGGTAATTCCAAACCAACATTTGTCACTTCACAGCACAATCAAACCTCTGTATTTAACCTCCCATTTTTCTAAAATCCCCTTAAAGGAGGTTTTTCAGTCGGTTTTTATTAAATATTTCTTTTCTAGAGGCAACTCTGTGTAAATTATCAGTGCCAGGAGCACTGGATTTCTCTTCTGCAGCTCCTAATTCCCACAGCCCCAAGCTCTGCCCATCCTCCATGTCCTGCAGCACCATGACCTGAACATCTCCCACCTACTGCTGAGTAGATGCTACACAAAAATAAAATTTCTACTGATTTTTCTTTTTTTGAGCCACATCTAAAAATATCCTCCCCAACCAATGGAAAATGTATTAAATCTAAGTAAGATACTTAAACTGAAGTCAGAAACAGATAGGAAAAATGGAAAAAATGCCTTTTAAAATGGTCCTTAAGAATCCATTTAGATAAAATGACTATTAGATACTTAAACTGAAGAAGGAAAGAAGTAAGAAAAATGGAAAAGGTCTCTTTTAAAATGGTATTTAAGGATCCATTTAGATAAAAGGAGTATTTCAGTGAAGGAAACCAAGAAGATCCATCATGCACCACCCTCATTTGGGTTTGCCTTTGCTGTGGTTTAAGTGACACCACGATCTTCTCCAAAATAAAATTCCAAGACTGTGATTTTACAGATGGATAAGACTGTAAATAAATAGGTCTTAAAAGCAGTATGGATGTTCCCCAGTGGATAAGGGGAATAAGTGGAATAAAGCATCAGGAAACAGGACAATGACTGGTACCACAGGTCTGATGCTCTGCACAAATACCTTAAAAACCTTTTTTGTTTTAAAGAGTCTCTAACACAGACAGGCCTGAAGGTATTTCTGTACAGATCAGGCTCATGGCAGTCGTGGCACTTGGGGACATGGTTTAGTGGTGGCCTTGGCAGTGCTGGGGAACAGCTGGACTCAATCCTAGAGGGCTTTTCCAACCCCAATTCCGTGATTCCACGTTGTAACCACGTTCTTCACACACCTTAGCATTTTCCCGGAGCTAAAATCTGGAGACAGTAAAGGGTCATTAAACCAGTTCCTGGACTGGGGACACAGGAGCTGGCAAGTCCAGCAGAGTTGCTGCTCCTCCCCAACACTCCCCAGGATCCCAAACCTTCAGTCCCAGCAGGATTCCTTAATCCCTCGCTGCCTTTCCCTCAGAAGAGGCAATTCCGTGTCTTCCCACCATCACAACCTGCTCTCAAGGGACCCAAAACCCAGCACCAACCTTGAGGCTGGAGGGACTTTACCTTTTGGTCCGTGGGCAGCTCCGGGCTCTCCCGGGAATGCTGAGCCTGCAGCAGGAGCAGAGCCGGGGGGCATGGCCGGGGGGCTCTCAGGCAAACTCGTCCTTATTGCTTCTGTGGTTACAGGGGGCACTGGGAGACATGACCAAGAGGGGGTGAGCACCTGGAAAGCTCTCAGAGAACAGGTTCCTCTGCTGGGACTTGAGTCCCCCTCCCAGGCAGTGCCTGCAGCCACCCTGGGGAGTGAACTCCCCCCTCCAGCCTCCCCCTCAGGGCAGAGAAAACCAGAATCGCCTTTTGTTGTCCATCCTCAGGAAATTAATTTGTGCAACACCCAGGAAAACACTTCAATCCTGAGGGAAGTAACACAGTTGAGGAGTGTTGTGCTACAAAGCCTCCCAGATCCACCCCCAGCCCCAGGTGGAGCCACCAGCTCCAGAAACACCAGCACCAGTGTTAAACTATTCACTTCTCAGCTTCTTCATTAAATCAGCAATAAAAACCCCATTGGGGATCAAATTTTGTAACACAGATGTATCCCCAATGGAATAATGTCTCAGTGGAGCTCCAAGGATTTAACTGTGACCAGAAACTTAATCACAAAATCCCAGACTGGTTTGGGTTGGAAGGGACCTTAAAGATCACCCAGTGTCACCCCCTGCCATGTGCAGGGACACCTTCCACCAGCCCAGGTTGCTCCAAGCCCCCTCCAACCTGGCCTTGGACACTTCCAGGGATCCAGGGGCAGCCACAACTTCTCTGGGCAACCTGTGCCAGGGCCTCCCCACCCTCCCAGCCAGGAGTTCCTTCCCAGTCTCCCACCTAACCCTACTCTCTTTCAGTCTGAAGCCATTCCCAGTTTCTCAAACACACATTTCCATTCTAAACTGATTTGAGAAGCAGGAACAGTGTTCTCCTTGGTCAGTTCCTGCTCGGCTCCGTTCCAGCCTCGTGTTCCTTGAGAAGGCAGACAGGCAGAGAAGCTGCTTCTGCTGCTCAGAAAGATCTTTACAGCTCCTGCAGGTGAAGACAAAACTGTTCCTACCTGGTGGCTCAACAAAGAAAGAGGCATCTGGTCCCTTCATGTCCTGCTGAGCTCCCATCCAATATTCTTCAGGACCTGTGGAAAACAAGCACACTCAGTCCAGCCCCAGAGGTGCTTTCACTTTTCCAGCTGAAGGCCTTGACTCTGCTGGTCTGGGAGTTCATTCTCGAGTGATGTTTCAGTTCCCTCCAAGAAAGGTACCAGGAATCCTGTTCTTCCACAATTATTGCCAGTGAAAGCTTCCAAGTCAGTACAAGCACTGACCCAAAAGAGGAGCTTCTTTCCTCGACTCTTCTGGGCAAGTGGCTCTGAGTGGCCCTGCAAGAGCAGGGGGGTTGGAAAAGTCTCCTTCCAACCTCAGCTGTTGTGGGATCTCCTCCTGTGGAATCCCAGCACGGTTTGGGTTGGAAGGGACCTTCCTCACCCCACCCTCAGCACATCCCAGTGCACCAACCACTGCCAGTGCCACCAGGAGACTTTCCAAACCACTGCCAGTGC